GGAACCTGAGTGGGTCCCTGGCCCTCCAGCTCCAAATGCTCAGTGGCTGCTGGCCCTGGCTCTGTGCCTCTGCTGGCCACTTGGTGTCCTCACCCAGGGTCCACGCCTGGCCTCATGACCACTGCACCGAGCAGGGCAGGGTTTGGGCCAGCCCAGGTGGAGCTGGGGGGATTCCTTCCCATTGGCGACCCACCTGTGGACGTGACTGGAAGCACTGGAAGCAGGTCGGGCCCCCCACAAATCCCCAGAAGCTGCTGTGCTTCCTTTCTCCTGTTAACAGAATCACACAAGTCACACATATTCCCACTGTAAGAGCTGAGTGCTTCTCCAGTGGAACGAGGAACTATAAAAATCCCTCTTTATCCCTCCCCCTCCATCACCCCTTCCCACTCCCCTCCCCAGCGGTAACAACTCTGAACAGTTTGGGGTGCTGGGAGAGCCCAGAATAGGAGTTAAAGAGTGGGGGCCTGTGAACCAGGCTGCCTGCCTGGATCATATCTCCATTCTGCTGCTTAATCAGCTGTGTAACCTTGAGTGAGTACCTTCACCTCTCTGTGCCTTGGTTTCCTCCAGGAAAAATGGGGACAATACTAGAAAAAACAGAATTCACATTAGGAAAAGCACATTGACCAGCCCTGACCCGTGGCAATCATTCACGAAGCATTTAGCGGCTGGTACTATGATCGTCCTGTTTTCTACACATACACCATTTCATGCTTCATGGGCTCAAGCTGTGCCTTTTATTCTGCAGGTTACCTTGTCCGCTCAGTGCTATATCTTTGATACCTTCTTTCATACATCTAAGACTTTTCTCTTCTGGGCTCCTCTTTCTCATTGCCTCTCTCATGGAGACCAGTGATTTCTCCTTGTCTTTCTCCTCCCTGTGCCCACATCTTCCCTCAGGTACGGCTCTAACAAGACTGGTTCATACTAAGGTGTAAATGACTGACAGGCAAAGCCCACACACAGGCTGGGTGAAACCAGCTATGGCCTGATCAGAGGAGACTGGGATCCCTGGTTATGAAGCAACTGCCACACACTTACCTTGAATCCTCCCAATGGCCCCAAAAGGCAGATGCTGTGATTAGCAGGTGCTGCGTTTTACAGAGGAAGACAGCAAAGCACAGAGAGGTGAAGTGGCTTAGTCGCCTAGCCAGTAGGGGCAGTGAGCCTGTGGGACTGCAGAACTCATTTTGGACATGACTAAGCTGGAACCCAGTCTGGCCTTTGAGGCGGAGTCAGCAGAGAGGTTCTGGGTGGGCAGCAGCAGGAGGCAGCTGGAGGGTCCTGGGGGTGTCGATGGGGACAGCTGTGCGATGGGGGAGAGGCAGGGATTCTCTGGGGCATCAAACCCTTCCTTTCAGGAGGAGAGTGTTACCTGGGAGGGGCAGGGGAGATGGCTCTCCAGGGAAATGCCCCATGCCTGGTGTCTACATGCAGTAGGCACTCCAGGCCCCCAGTGTTACTGAATGTGCGCATGGTGGACCCTTTCCAGGCATGGTGGGTCTGAAGGGCCAGATGGTGGGTGGGGCTAGGGACATTTTGGTTCTCCCACGTCCATCCTCTTAGTTCTTCCTGGCCAGACTGGGTGTTAAGGGAGGCGGTGAGTGGCGCCTCGGGGTTTGAGAGTGAGTAGGCATGCTTGGAGGCTGAGGGTGGGGGGACCAGCATGTCCTGGACCACCCCCATTGCTCTCTGATCCCCTCAGGCCCCTCCCTTACCCCATATCCATCCCACCCACACCACATTCAGCAACCCAGGCTGGCAGCCGGGGCCAGGGGAGAGGACTGAAGCTTCACTGGAGGACAAGCTCTGTGGGTGTGACAGCTCCAGCAATGGGGATGGGGAGCCTCACTACCCTGCCAGCCTCTGTCAGAGGACAGGGGACAGTAGCTAAGGCTACTGACACCCACTGATGCACAGACACCTTGCTGTGTCCACTTCTCCAACGTCCTCTCCCAGGAGGCTCCCCCAGATTCTGGCAGGGCGCGGTGGGGCAGGGATTCCTAAGTCCATTGTGCGGATGAGGGAACTGAGGCTGGTCCAGCCAGTGAGAGGCAGGGCCCATCCCAGGCTCTCCTCATAGCAAAGCCAACTCCAGTCCAGGCGAGGCCAGGCCAGACGCTCAGCTCTTTGTCAGAGAAACAAGGGGATCGTTCTCCCCTAGCCCTCCCTGTGCCGGCTGGCACTACCAGGCCCGGTGCCCACACCCCCACCAGGGCCAACTGAAGTCAGATTGTCCCCAAGGGTTGGGGGGGTGACCCAGTGCCGTGTGGATGGGTGTGTAGGGGGTACAGCTGCGAGGGGGTGGGCTGGGCTGGGGTCAGAGCCTATGAGGTCTGTAGGGCTAGTGTGTGTGTGGTGGGCAGTGGGGGTACAAAGATAGGGATACCCCTCTGTAGCAGCATAGGAAGGGGGTGGGTGAAGGCATGGGTGGAGGCTGCAGCTGTGTTCCTGTGCAGGATGGGAAGGGGGTGGTGGGCATCTGCTCCTTTCTTTCTGGGGACTGCCCCATTGGGAGCTGGCGGAGAGACCCAAGGGGCTGAGACAGCCCCTTTACTGATTCATGGTGTAGAGGGGCAGAGAAGGAAGGAGGGTGGGTGAGGGCCACTGCCTGCCTTCCTACCTTGTCGGGAAGGCACAGTGGTGGTGGGAGGAAGCCTGGCTGGCAGTCAGGTGGCATGGGCTCCATTCCTGGGCCTGGCAGCCAGGCAGCCTGCAGTAAGCTTCCTCCCTGCTCTGTGTGGAGACCCTCTGCTCCCCAGCATGGGCTCAGAGGCCATGCTACCTGGGGCTGGGTTCCAGCTCTGTCCCTTTCACTGCCGAAAGACACTTCATCTCCTGTGCCTCTGTTTCTCCTTATCTGTAAAAGGAGAGTAATACGCAGAACTACTTCATAGGGCTGTTCGAGGTGAAGGAGTTTGGAACATTGCCTGACATACAGTAAATGCTCAAATAAATGCAAGTTATTATTATTTCTATGATCTGGTGATTTTCACTGAATATTTGCCAGTTTTTTTGTGTGTGTGTGTGCTAATGCTGACTAAGTCCACTGTCTGGCATTAGCCAGAACATGTCAGCCTTTGCTGCTTCCCTTTTGTCACCCACTGAGGTCTGGGCCTCGTTGTTAGGGGCTTGAGACACAGCTCTGGCCTCTGGTCCACACTGATCAGTTTGCCTGCCAGTCATGTGCCCATCCATGTCTCATGCACTCAGCCTCCCAGGTGCTACATGCTGTGCAAGACCGATTAATTTCATATCATACTCCAATCTTCTGAAGTAGAGACTGTTTACTAATGAGAAATTGATGCTCAGAGAGGTTAAGTGACTTGCCCAAGGTCACACACAAAGAAGTGGCAGAACTAGGATTCAAGCCCATATTTTCTCAGTTCAGAAGTCCTTGCTCAACCACAAAGTCATACTGCCTCTTGCAATATCCCCAAGATGGGACCCTCCAGCACCTGCCAGGACCTTCATGGGGTCTGGACACACTGAGGAACCCTGCATCTCTCAGAGTCTCAGCCTGTCTCAGCTGGGGAGGACCTTAGAAATTACTGGGTCCAACCCCTTCATTTTGTGCATGGAGAGATGGAGGCTCAGAGGGGGAAGGGACTTACCCAGGGTCACTCAATGAGCTAGGGACAGAATGGGCCCAGCTGTAGGACTCATTCTTCCCTGTCTTTCCTTCCAGACTGGGCTGGGGGGCTTAAGTCACACCTGTCCCACTGAGACCTGTAGAAGATTAGGGCTGATGTACTGGGTGGTGAAGCCCTCGCTGGGCTCTGGCAGTGCCAGGTGCTCGGAAGTGGCCTTCCCCATCCAGGCCCTCCTAAGCCTGTGGCCTTGCCTTCCTCTTTATTACGCTGTAGGCTCCACGAGCTCAGGAACTACAGTTGTATCCCCATTGCCTGGCTCACTAATAAGATACATTTCTTCACACATGCATTCAACATTTGCCATGTCCCTGGTCCTGGGCCAGAGGCCCAAGGTATAGCAGTGAAAAAGACAGAAAATGCCTGCCCTCAGGGAAGTTTGCATTCCCAGTAAGAAAGAGATAGACAATGAATGAAACAGCTAGGCAAAAATGCATAGTACTTAAGATGGTGGTAAGTGATATGGAGAAAAATAAAAATAAAAGGGAAGGAGCATAGGGAGTGGGGATGGGGGGCTTTGTAATTTTAATAGGGTGGTCCTAGAAGGTCTCTGTAAGGTAACATATGAGCCTTGGATGAGGTGAAGGAGTGAGCCATGATGTCATCTAGGGGGAGAGCATTCCAGGCAGAGGGAACAGCAAGTGCAAAGGCCCTGAGGTGGGGGCATGCCTGGGATGTTTCAGGGATTGTAAAGTGCCTGGAGGATGTAACCGGAGCAGATAAAACAAGAGGGAGAGCTGGTGGATGGGGTCAAAGGGGAACATGAGGTGGGCTAGATCCTAGGGGGCCTTTCCAGTCATGGTAAGGACTTTATCTTTTCCCCTGAGGAAGGTGGGAGCCATGGGGAGTTGGGAGCAGAGGGGAGGACAGGATCTGACTTAGGATTGAACAGGAGTTAAATGAGTTGCTCTACTGAGTTGCCAGTAGAACGTCCAAGGGCAAGCCAGAGGAGGCAGTCTGGATACTGGGCTGCTCCTGCGGGATTCCGGGTAAGACCCGGGATAACCTGGGCCCACCTTGTGGCAGCAAAGGAGGATGGATCTGAGATCAGATCTAACAGGATCAGGATGTGGGCGTGACACAGAGAGGAGTGGAGGTTGACTCTTAGAGTTTGGGATTTACCAACTGCAATGAGTGAAGAAGACAGAACTTTCAGTTTTGGTCCAGGAACCAGGAAACTTGGATTCATGTCTCAGCTGTCACCTGCTTGCTCAGCGACCCTGGGCAAATCTCTTCCCCTCTCAGGGCTTGGTGTCTTCTCCTGTAAAATGGATGCGATCCCTGCCAGCCCCTGTGCATTGAGGAGGACACATACCTCATATACCTGCCGCCCCTTCTTGTCCACAGGGAGCCAGCGCCGGCAGCCACCATGGCATCACGCATAGGGCTGCGCATGCAGCTCATGCGGGAGCAGGCACAGCAGGAGGAGCAGCGGGAGCGCATGCAGCAGCAGGCTGTCATGCATTACATGCAGCAGCAGCAGCAGCAGCAACAGCAGCAGCTCGGGGGGCCGCCCACCCCGGCCATCAACACCCCCGTCCACTTCCAGTCGCCACCACCTGTGCCTGGGGAGGTGTTGAAGGTAGGGCCTGTTCTGGCCTGCCCCCTACCCTGTCCCCACTAGTCCCAGCCTCCCCTAGAGCCCTTGCCTTTTCCCCGTCCCAGGTGCAGTCCTACCTGGAGAATCCCACATCCTACCATCTGCAGCAGTCGCAGCATCAGAAGGTGCGGGAGTACCTGTCCGAGACCTACGGGAACAAGTTTGCCGCCCACATCAGCCCGGCCCAGGGCTCTCCGAAGCCCCCACCAGCTGCCTCCCCAGGAGTGCGAGCTGGACACGTGCTGTCCTCCTCCGCTGGCAACAGTGCTCCCAATAGCCCCATGGCCATGCTGCACATTGGCTCCAACCCTGAGAGGGAGGTGAGTGAGGAGCTGGCCAGTGGCCGTGCTGCTTGCAGAGCTCGTGCCCACTGCTGTGCTTCTGAGACTCGCGGTCTAATGGCAGAAGCAGGGGTGCCACCTTCGGGGAGCCTCAGTCTGAGGTGGGGACAGAGCCCTCCTCAGGGAGCCCCAATCTCGGGGGGGAGACACAGCCCTGCCCTCAGGGAGCCTCACAGAGGAAATGCCATCCTTACTTTCAAAAGCTCTGCTAGGAAGCCAGGTGCTGTGGCTCACGCCTATCATCCCAACACTTTGGGAGGCTGAGGCGGGCAGATCACTTGAGGTCAGGAGTTTGAGACCAGCCTGGCCAACGTGGTGAAACCCCATCTCTACTAAAATACAAAAATTAGCTGGGTATGGTGGTGCGCACCTGTAATCCCAGCTACTCGGGAAGCTGAGGCAGGAGAATCGCTTGAATCAGGAAGGCGGAAATTGCAGTGAGCTGAGATCGCGCCACAGCACTTCAGCCTGGGTGACAGAGTGAGACTCCTTATCAAAAAAAAAAAAAAAACTCTGCTAGGGAGAAACAGAAGGCGTATCTGGGAAAGCCCAGCACACTCCCCAAGCCAGAGACAGAAGTGAGATCAAGGAAGCTCCCTGGGCAGGTAGGCTCCTTGGCAAGAACCGTGGCTTCACATTGGGCCAGTGGGACCTGGACAGCTCATCTCTTCTCTGGGCCTATTTCCTCTTTCCCCAGATAAGTAGGTTGGGTGAGGTGGGCTCCAAGGTCCCTCCAGGTCAGTGGCTGTCCCATTGCCTCTTCCCCCTGCCCATCTCCTGGTGGGCCCTCCCCAGATGGACTTTTCTCTTTTCCAGTTTGATGATGTCATTGACAACATTATGCGTCTGGACGATGTCCTTGGCTACATCAATCCTGAAATGCAGATGCCCAACACGGTACTGCTGGCCAGGGTGGGGTGGGTGTGCAAGGGTTCTAGGGAGGGGGACACCCACAGTGGCTCTGAGCCTGGAGAGAGCTGGAGACAGGGTTCTCACTGGGCAGAGCTGGCATGCTTCTGTAGAGATAACGGTCATTTTCACTAAATAATATGACAAGGGCCAGGGCCAAGAGGAATTAAGAAGCAAGAAGGATGTGCCTCAGCCTCTGCACACCATGGGGCTTCAGAGGGGAGAAGGGGCTGGGGACATGGAGCGGGCCTGGTTGGGGAGCTTTCCAGGTTGGGGAAGGGGCAGGGGGAGGCAGGGAGAGCACTGCACGGGTGGAGGGACAGTGTGTCTATAGGAAGGTGTGGAACTAATGAGTTCCTTTGGGGACCTGGGCCTCCCCTCCTTTACCAAGCCCGGAGCCCAACAGGCAAAAGCCTGTCTGTGTCCCTCACTCCATGGGGCAAGTGATCTGGGGCTGGCCTTGTCCCCAACCACAGGAACACTCCCTCTGGCAGCTTCCTTCGTCTCCTGGCAGAGGTGGGGTGGCAGGTGGGGAGGAGCTGGGCTTGGAGTCAAAAGGCCTGGCTTCTGGCTTTTGCTGTGACCTTAGGAAATCCCTCAAGCATACTAAACCCCAGTTTTCTCAGCTGCAAAATGGGGGTGATGCTCTCTACCCACAGGATTGTGGGAAGATTAGATGAGGGCAGAAGTTGAGGGCAAGCGCTGTACAAAGGTGACAGGTGTGTGCACTGAGCAGGTGGGATTGCCAGTGCCTCTCCTGCCCGCTTTTCTCTGGAGCTCCTGAATCTCAGCTGCTTACTCCTGCCTTTGGGCATGAGCCTTTTACCCTGATCCTGGCCCCAGCCCATGCCACCAAGGGAAAGTCCCCAGTTCCTGTGGTGGGGAGTCAATCCTTAGTCCCCACTGCCCTGGTGACATCGCTGAGTGGCCTAGCAGGAGCTGGCCGGGACTGGTTGGGTCCAAAACTACAGCTAGCAGGGGCAGCGAGGGCTGAGGAGGGAGGGAGGGTGCGAGCGATTGGTCCCTTTAGTAGTTCCTGTGTACACTGTGGGGTGTCTGGGCCTGTGATTTGTTCTGCATGTTTCTGTGGCAGGAGATCTTTCCAGAGCTCAGATCTCTCCCTGTCAGACTCCTGCTTAAACTTCTCTTGGCTGCCCATTCCAAAACTCCAGTATCTTTGCAAGTCAAACACTGTACTGGGGATCCAGATACATCTGCCCTGCCTGCAGCACCTCCACCCCCACCACTTCTGCCCCTTGAGCTGCTGGAATTATGCTCTGCCAAGCGGCCCTGTCTGCTTGTGCCCTGGCGGCTGCCCGGAGTGCCTTGTCTCACATCTCTGCTCAGACTCTACTGAGTTCCACGCCCTCCAGGAAACTGTCCAGAAACTCTAGAATTGATTAGATGACCTGCTCTAGGGCTTCCATAATGCCTGGCTGGGGCCTAATCCTATCACATATTATTGGTTGGATCACTCTCTCAGCCACTCTAGGCCAGGGGCTCCTTGAGGGCAGGGAATGCATCTTATTCAGCTCTGGACTCTGCAGACTTTCAAGGTGAATTGCTGGGTGAAGGGGTCCAAGGTGAATTCTGACACTCTGGGTGTCCCCGGGAAGGACTGATTCTGGGATGACAGGCCCCAGAGGGGGCTCCCCGTGGACAGGGGGATACTCATGGGTCTCCCTCACCCCCCACCCCACAGCTACCCCTGTCCAGCAGCCACCTGAATGTGTACAGCAGCGACCCCCAGGTCACAGCCTCCCTGGTGGGTGTCACCAGCAGCTCCTGCCCTGCGGACCTGACCCAGAAGCGAGAGCTCACAGGTACTGCCTCCCTCTATCCCTGTGCCTTTGAATACCCAACCCCTCTTCCTTTTCTCCCTCCCTCTCAGCTCCTCTCTCCTCCTCTTTTGGCCTCCAGATGCTGAGAGCAGGGCCCTGGCCAAGGAGCGGCAGAAGAAAGACAATCACAACTTAAGTGAGTCCTGCCCTTCCCCGTCTCCCTGCCTCCCTCTTCCTTGTTCTCACCTGGGCTGGCTAAAAAGCCACTCCCTGACCTGCACAGGTGGAAGGCTTCCCTGCTCATGGCCAATTCACTTGCAGATGGCTTAAGCCCTCCCACTGCTGTCACTCAGTGGTGCCTGGGTCTATTAGTGCTGTCTTTCCACTAGACCTCTTTAGGAGGGGGTGGGAAGGATTCCTGGAAGGGATATTCATTAAACCCCCAGTTTATCAGGTTGTTTTCTGGGTTAAGGCATGGGAGCTGGGGCGTCAGAGTTCTGTGTAGCGGGGAAGAGTCCTACCCCAGGCAGCTTTGCTGTGCTGCCAGCATCACTAGGGCTGATTCTACCTTTCAGCGCTGTTAATTGTGTCTGGCCTTTGCCCTGGACCCCCTCATCCCTGTAGAAATCCAAATCTGTCACCTCTTACTTCCTAGAAGGACAAATCTAAGCTGCAGGTTGCCCTGAAGCACCCCTCCCTGGGTTGGATACTTCTCCCCGTGGGGCGGAGGATCCCCATCCCTCTAATTGCTCCTTCTGGAATCTGTTACCTTTAGTTGAAAGGAGACGAAGGTTCAACATCAACGACCGCATCAAGGAGTTGGGAATGCTGATCCCCAAGGCCAATGACCTGTGAGCAGGTTTCTGAGGGGGAGGGTGATGGGTCTGTGGTGGGCAGCCAAGTATTATCTGCCCTCAGCCCTGTGCTAGTTGCTAGGTTGGGAGCAGAATTCCTTCTAGAAGCTCATCTATTTGAGAAAAGATCTCTCGCTCTCCCAAATCAGGAAAGCTCAAGACAGATGAATTTCTGTCCTGGAAGTGAGGCTGAGGTCAAGGGAGGATTCCTGGAGGAGGAGTCATGCTGAGAAAGTTTTCTTAAGGCCATTTGGCTGGTAGACAAGAGGCTGGGCTCACGTCTGTAATCCTAGCATTTTGGGAAACTGAGGCAGGCAGATCACTTGAGGTCAGGAGTTCAAGGCCAGCCTGGCCAACATGGCGAAACCCCGTCTCCACTAAAAATACAAAAATTAGCTGGGCACAGTGGTGTGTGCCTGTAGTGCCACCTACTTGGGAGGCTGAGACGGGAGAATTGATTGAACCCAGGAGGCGGAGGTGGCAGTGAGCCAAGATCTCGCCACTGCACTGTACTCCAGCCTGGGCAACAGAACAAGACTCTGTCTCAAAAAAAAAAAAAAAAAAAGTGTGTTTGAGGGGCAGGAGGAATGAGAGTCCAGGGTAGGCTGGGCTGGAATCTTGGTAGTCTTGGGAAGAAGGCTGCACCGAATTGTCTGGTTTCATGAGATTAATGAGGTGGGCAGTGGCAACAGAAGTCACCAGGGAGGGCCTATTCTGTGCAAACTGAGATTAGCCACCTCCATCTCTAGGTCTGGGGTTGCTGGGTAAGACTGGGACAGGCCACATAAACTCTGCAACCAGAGAAGTGGCAAGGATTTGGCCACTCTTCTGAGCAATACACCTCTAATTTGCCTGGCCTGCTGCTGCAGGGACGTGCGCTGGAACAAGGGCACCATCCTCAAGGCCTCTGTGGATTACATCCGGAGGATGCAGAAGGACCTGCAGAAGTCCAGGGAGCTGGAGAACCACTCTCGCCGCCTGGAGATGACCAACAAGCAACTCTGGCTCCGTATCCAGGTCTGGTTCTGAACTTGGACTTCTTTGGTAACTCTGACCCTTAACCTGGCTCCTGGCCCCAGGGGGGCAGTACTTAGACTTCTGAAGTTGGAGACACAGGAACGATGCCCATTAGGAAGGAGGATGTATCAAGATAGGATGTTTTGCTTTGGTAACAAACAATCCTCAGCATCTTTAAGCAACATATATCAGCTGGAGGTTCTGTTCTGTAAGACCCTCATTCTGGGACCCAGGCTGCTGGGACCTAGCTCTCTGATGGCACATCTAGAGCTGGCTCTTAAAGCCATTGCCACTCTTAAGGTGCCACATGTCACTTCTGTTCAATGGGCTTGGCCAATGCAAGCACACTCTGTGAGTACTCTAACCTCAAGAGGCAGGAAAATGCAAACCTATTACGTACCTGGAAGGCGGAGAGCTGCAATCATTTGGTGGGTGGCACTAGGAATCTCCACAGGGCCAACCTAAAGAACAAGGAGGTTGGCAGAGTCAGCCCTACCAGCTGGAACTGAGAGTTCTAGTCCGGGCTCTGTGTTGAGGCTCTCTTGTCCTCTTTAGACCTGAGGCTGGCCCTTTACACAAAGGGCGATTGGACTGCACCTTGTTTCTCTTTCTTATGGTAGATGATACAATTTACATTAAAATCTAGCACACACAGGCACACTCAAAGTGAAAAATCAAAGTTTCATGAAGGAACGCTCCCCTCATCCTTAATAGATGCAATGCATTCTAATAATTTCTATTCTAGTCTAGTCTAGACAAGTCAATTTCAATTAAAAAATAGAAAGTTGGTCAAGACTCACTACAGTGGTTTTACAACCCACTAATGAGTTACCACTTGTAGTCTGAAAAAACACTGGTCTAGACTCTAGAGCTACCCGATGTTTTCTTCCAGTGGAAACACTTTGGGTCTTGGGTGCTGTAGGGCAGGGGCAAGTGCTGTGACAGAGGCCCGGGGAGGGGTCCTGGTGGCTGGTACCCATGGGTGTGTTCCCCAGCTTTCTGTCTGCTCCCCTGCAGGAGCTGGAGATGCAGGCTCGAGTGCACGGCCTCCCTACCACCTCCCCGTCCGGCATGAACATGGCTGAGCTGGCCCAGCAGGTGGTGAAGCAGGAGCTGCCTAGCGAAGAGGGCCCAGGGGAGGCCCTGATGCTGGGGGCTGAGGTCCCTGACCCTGAGCCACTGCCAGCTCTGCCCCCACAAGCCCCACTGCCCCTGCCCACCCAGCCACCATCCCCATTCCATCACCTGGACTTCAGCCACAGCCTGAGCTTTGGGGGCAGGGAGGACGAGGGTCCCCCGGGCTACCCCGAACCCCTGGCGCCAGAGCATGGCTCCCCATTCCCCAGCCTGTCCAAGAAGGATCTGGACCTCATGCTCCTGGATGATTCACTGCTACCGCTGGCCTCTGATCCACTTCTGTCCACCATGTCCCCCGAGGCCTCCAAGGCCAGCAGCCGCCGGAGCAGCTTCAGCATGGAGGAGGGCGATGTGCTGTGACCCTGGCTGCCCCTGTGCCAGGGAACAGGGGCCGGCCTGGGGGCTGGGAGGGCTGGGGGCACCTCCCTCCCACCCTTCAGGCTGCACTGTGTGTGAAGTAGCCACCTGCCCTGCCTTCCTCCTCCCTGCTGGCCCCTGTTTGGACTTAGTGCCTGTCTGGCAACCTGTGGGGTCAGGAGAAGCACCCCCAGGGCAGCCCTCTTGACTGGCCCAGTGGGAAGAGGCCTTCAGCCCCTCTCCCGGAGATGGAATCGTGGGGCAGTGAGGGGCAGGGTGTTCTAGAGGTGAGAAGAGGGCCTGGTGGAGACCCCCTGTCTTCTGAGCCCGACCCCTCATTACCAGTGAAGGACATGCTGAAGGGTTGGGGAGACTCCTTACCTGAGGCAACTGGTCCTGGGGGTGCCCAGGCCTGCCTTTCTGGGACTCAGATGGCAGGAGGTCCGCCCCGCAGCCTGGTCCTCGGCCCTCCCACAGGTGGGCACCCCCCACTTTGGTGCTAACAGCTCTCCACCAGGTGGTGTGAGCGCGGGGGCTGCCAGAAGCGGGAGGGGTCACTGCCGGAAGAGCAGCTGCCCTCCGACCCCCCACTTTGTGCCTTTAGTAAACACTGTGCTTTGTATCCTCTGGTCCTGTCTCTTTGGAGTGGGTCTAGGGCTGACAGCGAAAGCGAGGATTCAACCCAGTGGGCCCCCTCCAGAGTGCAGATGCTGCCTGGAGGGGGTCGGGGTGGGGGATACAGGGAAGAGGGAACACGCTTGTCCCCTGGTGTCCCCACGCCTCAGCCTTGCCCGGGGAACCCGAGGGGTTTGGGTGCTGATGGGGGCACGGTCCCTCCTCACGACCACGAGGTGGCGCTGCGGCCACGCCAGTCCCACGGCTCCAGCGGCGGCCCGAGCGAGACCAGTTGATGTGGCGAACCAAGTCTGCCGCCGTTAGCTGCTTACCTGGGGCACCCTGGGCCCGGGGTGGGGGGCATGCTGCTTCTGTCCCACCCCTGTTCTGGGGGTGACCTCCCCAGGTGGGCGGCCACCCGGCTCGAGAAGCTGTAGCTGGGCGCTCTGGAGGCGGCGCTCGCCCTCTGTCTGCCAGACGGGCTTCCTAGTAACTGAGGGGCTGCGTCCTGCTAGGGCTTTGGGGAAAGGGACCCCCGTGAGCTAGATAGGGAGGAGACGGGAGCCCAGGACGCTGCGTGGGGGTTACGGGGCCGGGTCCCCCCGCCCCACTCTGGCTCTGGCAGCGAGGCCTGGGCGAGGCCTTTCCTCCGGGCTGCAGTGCTCCGGCCTTTGCTTGGAGACGTTGGTGCTTATACCTCGCCCAGGAAGGGGACATGCGCTGGGGACAGTCAGGGGTCGAGTGGCGGCTGCTCGAGCCCCGGTGCCTGGCGGGAACGGGGAGAGGGCTTTCCGGGCTTCATCCAGTTCCCCTCCGCTCTCCACGGCCGCTTCAGGCAGAGACCAAAATGGCTCCCCGTCATCGCCCTGAGAGGCTGAAGGAGCCTAATTAAAAAAAAAAAAAAAAAAAAAAAAAAATCCCAGGATGAAAATGGGTAAGAGGGCAATTTCCTCTGTGCAGAACGGGAGATCAAATCAACGTTGAGCAATTAACATGCGAGGGGAGAGAAGGAAAATGGGCCGGGCGGCTGGGCGCTGATGGTGGCCGGGCTGGCGGAGGCTGCAGGATTAATCTCAAGGTCAGATGGAGCCAGGGATGACCTTGTGGAACCAGCCGGGTCGCTGGCATCTCCTTCTAGTTCCAGGTTCCACCCCACTACCTGGGACTTCAAGACCAGCTTGGCCAACATGGTTAAATCCTGTCTCTACTAATGTAAAAAATTAGCTGGGTGTGGTGGCGTGTGCCTGTAGTCCCAGCTACTCAGGAGGCTGAGGCAGGAGAATCACTTGAACCCAGGAGGCAGAGGATGCAGTGAGCCATCCCTGCATGGAAACTCCTCTGAGCCCCGTCTGGGTCAAGCCCTAAAGTCTGGGAGACACCTGATGATCTATCTAGGCTTGGGCTGCCTTGGCCGGGGGGTGAAGGCTCCGGGAAGTCCCAAGGCCCGTCCTTCAGGCCCCTGAGAAATCTCTCCTGACCCTACTGGCTCTTCCACTTTACCCCGGGGATTCACCTAGTGGAGTGGAGGGCTGCCCACCTGCTTCCTCTCACAGCCCTTCAAGATCACAGATAGCCCTTCCTGCTAGCAGAGGTCTGCTAAAAAGAAAGAAAGTTTTAAAACATGTTAAAAAAAAAAAAAAAAAGATCACTGATATCGCCCCCTCCACCTGCCTACTGGTTTCCTGCCCCTGGACTCCTTCAGCCTGGGATTGGAGTATGGACTGTACATTCGACAGGACAGAGGGTGTGAGTGGGGTTCTGTCCACAAGAGGGTGCCCTGGGCCAGGAGTAGGCAGCTGCCTGCCCAGGCTGGTGGGGTTGGGGGACTCTCAGCTTCATTGTACCTTCCAAGCTCTCTGCCTGGGTGGCTTCCATTCTGCCTGGGAGTCCTGCAGTCCTACCGATTTGGTTGAGGCCGGCCCAGGGACTACTTCCAGTATTTCAATAAGCCACCAGAAAGTGTTCCTGTTTCTGAGATCAGCCTGAAGGACCCTCACCTTGTGGCTGGAATGGAATCTGACTGGTGATTATGAACGATTCTGATTCAATAAGAGAGGATTGCATCCTTTAGCAATATTTATTTGATGGACAACACCTTTCCAGGTGTCAGGTCCATGGAGGAATTCTTTTTTTTTTTTTTGAGACGGAGTCTCTCTGTCGCCCAGGCTGGAGTGCAATGGTGCAATCTTGGCTCACTGCATCCTCTGCCTCCTGGGTTCAAGTGATTCTCCTGCCTCAGCCTCCTGAGTAGCTAGGACTACAGGCACACGCCACCACACCCAGCTAATTTTTTACATTAGTAGAAACAGGATTTAACCATGTGGCCAAGCTGGTCTTGAACTCCTGACCTCAGTTGATCCACCAACCTCAACCTCCCAAAGTGCTGGGATTATAGGTGTGAGCCACCGCACCCCGCCCTTTTTTTTTTTTTTTTTTTTTTTTGAGATGGAGTTTTGCTCTTGTTGACCAGGCTGCAGTGCAATGGCGCAATCTTGGCTCACTGCAACCTCCACTTCCCAGGTTCAAGTGATTCTCCTTCCTTAGCCTCCCGAGTAGCTGGGATTACAGGCACCTGCCATCATGCCCAGCTAATTTTTTTGTATTTTTAGTAGAGATAGGGTTTCATCATGTTGGCCAGGCTGGTCTTGAACTCTTGACCTCAGGTGATCAGCCTTCCTTGGCCTCCCAAAGTGCTGGGATTACAGGTGTGAGCTACCGTGCCTGGCCTGGAAATCCTTTTTTAAAAAACAGAGTAGGGCCAGGTGTGGTGGCTTGCACTTGTAATGCCGGTTACTCAGCAGGCTGAGGCAGGAGGATTGCTTGAGGCCAGGAGTTCAAAACCAGCCTGGGCAACATAGCAAGATCTTTAACTCTATTTTTTTTTTTTTAAATTAGCCAAGCATGATGGTGCACACATGTGGTCCTAGCTACTCAGGAGGCGGAAATGGGAGGATTGCTTGTGCCCAGAAGTTTGAGGTTGCAGTAAGCTATGATCATGCTATTGCATTCCAGCCTGGGCAATACAGCAAGACCCTGTTTCTAAAAATAAAAAGGCAGGTAAGGACATTGGCTGGTGTGGACACAGGAGGGATAAGCCTGTCTAGCCCCTTCATTTTAAGAAGGCTTAGAGAACAAACAGACATGTACAGTGGGAGAGGAAGCAGAGAAAGAGGTCAAAGCTAGGCAGGAGAGGACAAGAAGCAGTAGCTCCCTCAGATCCCTTGTGGGGCCCTCAGCAGGAGCCAGGCTGCTGGGGTAGCAGAGGTGGTGAGCGTGGAGGATGCAGACAGCGTCCCAGCCCCTGACCCTGCTGTCCTCAGCTCCAGTTCCTGCATCTGTCTGTCCCCACCAGCTGCTCGCCCTGCCTTAGTACCTACCTCCTCAGCCTTAGGAAGTTCTGCATGTCCAGCTGCATCTGCTGGGCGGCCCGCTCCACCGTCGGCAGAACAGGGCCTCGGAGGCGAGAGTTGGAGTGGCAGCCCGGGAGGCGGGAGGCGGTTGCAGGGCCTTGGAATGTGCTGCTTGGAATGCCGTGTTTCCATTCTCCATGGTTCCTTTAAAGCAGAGATTCTTCCTTTACTATTTGACGTCATTAACTTAGTTGAGAGTCTGATACACACTACATACCTTCTCCCCCAACCCCACACACACATGGCCTCCTAAAAACTAACCTCAGGTTCAGCACTCGTGCTCTCAACCCATGCCCCATGCTCTATCTCAAAGCCCATGCCCCTCCCCTGTCTTTCAAGCTGCCTGGCTCAGCTGGAGCTGCTAGAGAGCCCCTTCCCAGGCACCTGGGTGTACTTCCTGCCCCTCACCTCCCGCCCCTCACCTCCTGGGACTCCCACCTCTCGGGGCCCAGGCCCCGTCCCCCTCTCAGACTCCTCCAGCCTCATCTTTTTTCTTTGCTCTGTTCTTTCCGAGGGGGGCAGTGGAATTTATACAATATTTAAGCAGCCAGAGCTGAGTCCGGGAAGATATTATTAATGTAAAAGGGACGGGCTGCAAATGCTTTTGGACCTGGTTACAATTAGAGGGTGATTTTTCTAAAGGTCAATGAATTCAGATAATATCCACAGGGGGGAGAGAAATTTAATACCTTTTTAGTGAATTAATTAATTATAATATTATATCGGCTTGGGGTTCTTTTCCAGAGTGATTAAGGGAGCGATCTGTCTTCTGTGAGGCCGGGGAGTGGCGCCTGCCGCCAGCAAGGACCCTGGCGCAGGGCTCAGGATGGGGGCCCTTCCCTCTCCTCTCACCCCTGCAGTGGCCAAGGAGCTAGGGGCTTTTTAGACATGAAAGAAGACAGGCTGGACCTGGTCAGGGCTGAGGGCGGTGTGGGTATTGGCCTTTCCCCTTGGCCTGTCTCCTCCACCCCTGGGTCCGGCCCTCCTGCTGCCATGTCACCAGTCCTCATGCCATGGTGGCCTGAAGAGCTGAGAAGTGGGGTATGGCCTCCTTCTTTACACTTGGAGAAACTGAGGCTCATGGGCTTCAGGGACATGCCTTAGACCCACTGTGGGTTAGGACAGACTGAGGTGGCAGAGCTGGCTGGAAATACCGAGAAGACAAGAAGGACCTCCCTAATACCTCCCAAACCAGGCCTTCTGGAAAATCTCCACCAGCCAGAGGTCTGTGGAGCTGCCTGGGAAGCTTCTCCATCTCCAAAAGAGGCTCTTTCAGGGTGTGTAGTGTGCCCAGCCTCTGCTTATAAAATGAACACGCCCCAGGAATACTGACACCTCCAGTTGCTGTGAGGCCTAAGATTTCTGTCCCTGGAGGGATCTGAAAGTGGCCAAGGAGTGCTGCTTTTCACCCATTTATTCATTTATTCATACACAGTCAAATGTTCATTCAACAAACATTTGTGGCACACCTGCTTTTATGCCATCAGAGAGACTTAAATATCACCTCTTGAGCCCCTGCCCACTTCATCTTAAGCCCAAGCTGCTCATCTGAGCAATGGAGGGTGGGGTGGGGAGACCTCCATGGTCCCTTTCTGTC